GGAGGGCCCCGAAAAACGAAAAAAAAAAAAAAAAAAAAAAAAAAAGTACAATCCCATTTTTAAACATATATGTATTGCAAGAGAAAGTTTGGCATCATTTTTTACACATCTTGAAAACAAAACTTTAAATCCCCCTTTTGGCCAATTGACAATTGGAGGACTTTTTTTTTTTCCATTATTTCACTTATTAGATAAGACAGCCATGTACTTAATTGACAAAGTTATTGATTCTTCTGATATTCTCTTGGACTATTACCAAGCCATTTTGCTACATTTATTGAACCCCTACTATGTGCATTATTCCATATGCAGAAGAATTCTAGAGCTAGAAATAGCTATCAGAATATACTTGCTTTATGTTTCTCAACCATATATGAAAGTAAATATGTCACTAGTTAAGAAGTTAAAAATCAGAAGTCTGTGTCATAGCTCAGACCTACTCTACCAAAAGAATCTCCAGGAGAGGAGCTTGATATTCTTAACTTCAAAAAGCTTCTTGGGTGATTCTATCAGGCGATTTTGGAATCGCTTTTTTTTTTGCGGTACGCGGGCCTCCCACTGCTGTGGCCTCTGTGCTCCGGACGCGCAGGCTCGGCGGCCATGGCGCACGACGGGCCCAGCCGCTCCGCGGCATGCGGGATCCTCCCGGACCGGGGCACAAACCCGTGTCCCCTGCATCGGCAGGCGGACTCTCAACCACTGCACCACCAGGGAAGTCCTGGAATCGCTTTTTTTTAGTTTGATGTCTTCATTTTGAGAATGTAGAAACAAAGGCCTGGCTTGAGAAATGTTCATGATAGCTAGCATAGAACCAGGACTCTTCAGATACAGGGTTTTCTTCATTTCTTGGCAGCAAGCCTGGTACCTTTATGTTACACATTAGCCTTTATACCATTTCGTTCTTTTTACCAGAACGTGTTTCCTTCATAATTAATCAATTTGACCATAATTTAGGAAATGGAACGTTTTTCTGCGTATATTATTTGCACTCAGCTATCAGGAATAAGTAGCAAATGACTTAATTGCCATGATTATTTTTCATATGTTATTGTTAAAGTTAACAGCTTCTTCTGAAAACAGCATGTGTGCTTCCCCTGGCCAGGTGCATATGGTAATAATGGAGCAAACGGATTCGATCAGTTTGTAAAAGATAATAGTAACTTGGCATCTAGATTTAAGAACTTGTGTGATGGCACGTCTTACTGTTATTCTGGTCGTTTCAGGATTACAGTGATTAAAAAGCAGATTTAAACGTTCTATTTTGTACTATTAAAAAGATTGGTGTTAAAGTCAGATAGTCGAGTCGTACTAGGTACGGCAATAACTCTAAGAGCAAAAGCCATCAGAGAACCTAGAACTGTTCTGAACTAGGTAATTTGGGAAAATATACTAAAAGCTGCTGTCATTCACTAGTAAGTAGTCCGAGAGCTTGTTTTGATAAAATAATCATAGAATCATACTTTTAGTGGTAGAAAGAAACTTAGAGGTCATCTACTGCATCTTCTTTAGAGATGAGAAAGCCAGGTTCAGAGATGTTGCTTACCTAAAGTCATGATCTAATTGCCAAAATAAAATAAACTTCATTAAAAACTGCTTGCTGCATATGTACGTTTGGTAAAAGACTGGAAGAAAGGAGAGGTTGGTTGAGGGGGGCAAGACCAACCTCTAAACCAAAGTTTCAGGTTAATTTGTAAGTTATAAAATTTAGGGGCTTCCCTGGTGGCGCAGTGGTTGGGAGTCCGCCTGCCGATGCGAGGGGACGCGGGTTCGTGTCCCGGTCCGGGAGGATCCCACGTGCTGCGGAGCGGCTGGACCCGTGAGCCGTGGCAGATGAGCCTGCGCGTCCGGAGCCTGTGCTCCGCGACGGGAGAGGCCACAGCAGTGAGAGGCCCGCGTACTGCAAAAAAAAAAAAAAAAAAAAAAAAAAAAATTTAACAAGTTTGTGAAAGCACAATGGACTAACAGTAGTCCAAGGCAGAGAAATAAGTGCCGTAAGAAAGGAATCAGACAAAACGAGCTGAATAAATTTGATGTAAGAAAGCAAGGTATTTGAGAAAACTGAGTTCCAGTTTGGTTAGCAGCGGTTCTCAACTTCAGCTGTACATTAAAACCACCTGGAAGTAAAACAACAACAAACAAAACCTGTGTCCTGGGTGGGGCTTTGTCTTTTGTCTGTCTTCCAAGCACCCCAGATGATTCTAAGACACAGCCACAGTGAAGAGCCTCTGAATTAGATTATAGGTAAGTGCAGAAGAATTATGGGAGATTAAAATGGCAGCTATTAAGGTAAGAGGCCAATTTAGAAAAAGAAAGAAGTATTAAGGGTCAGAACTAGCTTGGAGGTTAGTAGGAATGGAAAGAAGGAGGCAACGTGAGAAGTAAACCTAAAGGGCTTTGCGGTTATTTGTATGTGGGGTTGAGAAGGAGGAAAGAATTGAAAATGATGCTGAGGTTTTGGACCAAGGTGAATAGGCAAACAACAGTAGTAGCTCTGTTAAAAGAAATGGGTGGAATTAGTTTAGGAGGTATGTGGGGTGGGAA